TCAGTAACGTCCCTGTCATGCTTCGGCAGGCTGCGTGGCGGCGCGCGGCTCCGTGGAGGATGCAGACCGCTGGGCTGCAGCTCTGCGTCCCGTGTTGGGTCAGTGGGCGCATGCAGGGACAGGCCGTCGCTTGTCATGACGTGCCTTGAGAGGGCTGGGAGAAGAGGGTAACCGCGTGCCGTTGCAGTGTGGGAGGAAAGGGTACGGCGGTGCCTGTTACTGCTGGAAAGGGCTTGTCCTGACCCCCTTTTACTGGGAGCAGGAACACCTCCTCCCCAGCTTTCCAGCGCTCTTACAAAGATGAAGCCCATGTGCCAGAGCAGTTTTGGTGCCCCACGCCCTTGTCCTTACACACGGGGTGCGGTCACTGCTCCCAACTGGTGTTGGGCTGCCGGGGTGCACCGTGGCACAGGTGACTGCTGACTTGCTCACAGGAGCGCGGGAGCTCTTCTTCGCCGGCATGTTAGCAGGGCATCAGCCATGGGACGCTGTGAGCATCTTGCTCCTCTTCCCTGTTATAAAACCCAGTAAGAGCTCGCTGTGCAAGGGCAGCCTGTTCTCGAGCCTGGTCCTCCTGGCCCAGCTCTTGGTGGAGGACGAACCCGTTTGGTCTGTGCTGACACAGAGCGGGAGTGGAGCCGGGTCCAGCTGTCAGCTGTTGTTCTCCAAAACAAGAGAAACCTAATGGGTACCAGGCCTTTTCATAAGGTTTTGGCTTCACCTTCCTGCTTGGATTCAGGTGCAGCAAGGCACTTACTTAGATACACGCATGAGCGCCTGGACAGCTTTGTATGGAAGTACTCGGAGACTTCACGTTCAGTCCTTGTGTTCTTGATTAGGACGGCTTATTCTTCCTTGAATGCTTAGCTTTTCTTTCCAAATACCTTTTCATGGGGGAGAGCTTTAGCAATGCAGTATTTCATTGATGTAGCTAACAGACATGGAGCTGTAATGGTATTTGAAATGATGATTTTCATGCAATTTCTCTCAGATTTTTGGAAATCAGAAAGTGAAGTCACGCCTGCCTTGAGTGAGCCTGTGTTTCTGCAGGTGGTCAAAATGGCTTTCTTGATAATGACGGTGCACGGGTTTACTACTGTTTCCTGGTGTTTGCTTGTTAGGGGAGGGAAAAGAGTCTGTTGAGTCAATTGTGGCAGTACGGTATAATTGAAGGAGTGATTTCAGAAGCGCTCCCTGGGGTGCTGTGTAACTGAATCAAGGGGAGAGGTTGTTGACATTTCAAGCTCTATGCTGGTTGGGACCGGGCGTTAGGAACCAAACCACCTGCGGATTTGAGCTGGTGAACCTCCTGCAAAAGTGTCTGGGTGTCATTTTTTGAGGGGACAGGGGCCTTTGGCAGTAAGACAAACTTGCCGTAAGGGTGACTGTCCCTTTTTTGCCTGATCTTTTCGCTGCGATGAGCGGTTGTAACGAGTACCTACAGCTCGTAGGAAAGGACAGAGCCATCAGCTCTTGACTTTTCCACGATTGCAACACCGCTCAGTGCAAAATATTCTTTGGGATGCGTCCGTGCTCTTAATTTCTGACCTGAGGAGGCTGTGATTCTTGCTGCAGTCTGCGATGACCCGAGAGTGCCTTGATGAGCTGTTGTTCTTGAAAGCAGCATTCACGCGTCAGTACGTGACTGCCGGGCCCTAGGCAATCGCTGTTAAGTGCAGCGAGCTTCGCTTTGGAAAGGAGACCAAAGGGCTTTTAAGAGACCTCTTCGGGAACTGCCCCAATTTTTGCTTTCCTCTGACAGAGTGCTGATTGTGTGGTTCTTGCAGATGATCGTTTCAAAATAATCTGTGCCGAGGCACAGTCAAACATAATTCAGGGAGCTAGGATTTCCAAGCCGGACACGGATCGTGGGAAATCCTCTCTCTTCGTATCTTCCTTTCAGGACAGCTATTGGGAGAGGGGTAAATATTCAGAGAAACGTAGAGGAAAATGGGTTTTTAATCTGAATTGTCCCAGTTTTGTACATATATTGCAACCGTCTGGATTTTATCCTGACGAGGTGGAGTGCTGCTCGGCATGTCAAAAGCAGCAACACAAGATGGAGCTGAATCATTCATTCTTTGCGCATTCAAGTCCCTCTTGCTTTTTCTGGGAAGTGTGTGGCGAGTGCAGGCTCAGCAGCTTGCTAATGGTTTTTTATATATAGATACATACGTACGTATGTACGTATACAAATGGACCGGAAGGGACCTCCAGGGTCACGCAGTCCAGTCCCCAGCTATCTCTGACAGCCCTGAAATCCCATCCGTCAGTTGATCAAGCTCTGTCTTAAAAATATTTTACCCTTGCCCATGCACGTTGGAAAGGTCTCCCAGAAGTTCATGGTTTCTGGTAGCAGCTTTTAAGCAGGTTTGAAAGCTTTCTGGGCTAGGCAATGGAGAGACAGTGATGTAGTTATTCCTGCCCGTCTCTCCTAGGGTGTCAGGTTGTTGCCCAACACTGTTATATCTGGCTATCTTCTGCAGAGTCCCTGGTACTTCTCGCCCCGTGGCTGGACGCCCTCCCTGGGGTGGGTCATGCCTGCCAGAGGCTGCTTTTGTCTTTGAGGTCGGTACCTCGCTGCAGCAAACATGAACCTGGACTTACCGCGCGCAGAAAGAGGCTGGAGAGGTCAGTGGTGAACGGTGATGCAAGCTTCTGCTGTCTTTTTGGGCAGTCAAGCAAGAAGCTTCCCTCTACTTTGGGCTGGGATCATGGGGGTTTTTACAGGGGCTCGTGGGGCTTTGCCTCTTTTCTCCACTAGCATCTCTTTCACGTTCCTTTTGCCTTAAACCAAGACTCTGGGGTGGGACCACCGTCTCCTTTGCCTTGACATTGAAAGGGGAGCAGGTTAGGCAGCCTGTCGAATTCCTCTTGTAGTGAAGCAGAAACAGGTCTTGACTTCAGTGGAAGGTAAATAGTGCTCTCAGTTAGACTTTTACGTGGATTTAACTGCCCAGGATGGGATTGCCCAGGCTGAAGACACAAACTGTCCTCTGATTGCAAACCCCTGCAGCATCTCTGCACAGATTGCAGTCGAGATCAACCCTGTAAACTGACATTACGCGCTCACGCTCTGTTGCATCAGCTGTAATGATTGTTAGCAGTCAGAGGCTAATTAGCAGAGGTACTCTCCAGACCTCGGCTCACCCAGACTGTCACTAGCACAGATGGGATGACGGATGCGGGGGGGGAGCTCTTCTTTTAAGAATCAAAAATCCTATGTACACTAGGCATGACTTTGTTCCAGTTGGTTTGCACATCTGCGGTGAACTAGGGGGTAGAAACCACCACCAGTGCCTCTGAGGTTCTGCCCGGGGGACAGTGGGCATCAGAGCCAAGACAGCGACAAGCAGACAGCGTTATTCATTACCTTACTTGGCCGGGCCTCTGTGTTAGCTGCCAGAGGAACTTTTGTTGGGAGTCGCTTTCCTGAGGCGTCGTGACCATACTGCCGTTGGGTCCGTGGGAATTTCTGTAGCCCACAGCGCTTGTGGGAAGTATCCAGGGAGCTGCTGTGTGACAAAGATCTGTTTGCATTTGCAAAGTAAAATATTTGCTGCTAAAACAGAAGCAGTGAGAATCCTCAGTCTTTTCCTGTTGCAAGCAATGCACTTTCCCAAGGCTTGGTTTGATGGCCTCCCCGAATCCCACCGCGCTTGCTCCATCCCCTGCCATCTGCGGCGGCGGGGTCTCTCCTGCCCTTCTCTAGCAATGCCAAACAGCCTTCCCGATCGCTCTGTTTTTCTGTGGCCAAATCTTGAGAGCGGCAAACAGGCTGAGATGTTTTGAAGTCGGAAAAAAGAACAAAAAAAAATGTCACTGAGGTCAGTGGATTTACACCAGCTTGTGTCTGTCCGGGGTCCGGAGGTGATGCTGCCGCCTTCTGTTAATTTATTTAGGAAAAAAAGCTTTCTGTCAGGTGGCTCTTTCCTTTGCACTTACCACAGTTAAGGGAGTAAGGAGCAACCACGAATATCACGTTAATCAAAGGTAATGCGGTCCAGCA